ATTAACATATGCATAGATGTCTTCCATTATCTTTTTTCCTATACTTAAACTTCACTTTCCATTACCATAGCCTAAGTCTCAATATCTAGTAGGGCACACCCTTGTCTCCTTCAGTTATTTTTTTGGTATTGCCTTAGGTAATCTTTTTTTTTTTTTTTCGAAACAGAGTCTTGCTCTGTCTCCCAGGCTGGAGTGCAGTGGTGTGATCTCGGCTCACTGCAAGCTCCGCCTTCGGGGTTCACGCCATTCTCCTGCCTCAGCCTCCGGAGTAGCTGGGACTACAGGTGCATGCTACCACACCTGGCTAATTTTTTTGTATTTTTAGTAGAGACGGGGTTTCACCACGTCAGCCAGGATGGTCTCGATCTCCTGACCTTGTGATGCGCCCGCCTCAGCCTCCCAAAGTGCTGGGATTACAGGCGTGAGCCACTGTGCCCAGCCACACTGCCTTGGCTAATCTTAGATCGTTACTATTTCATGTGATATTTGGAGTCATTTCTGTCAGGTATCATGTCCTGTTGAAATGCTTACTGTAATTGCACAGAATAAATTTAACTTGGGGAGAATTGATATCTTTATATTATTGAGCCCTCCTGTTTAGAAACATGGTCTGTTTCTGCATAAACCTTTCTAAGGTACTTCAATAAAGTTTTATAATGTTGTCCATTACATACATATCTTTTTTTAAGACTTAATGTACTGCGTAGTTTTTGTAGCTATTGTGAATGGTCAGTTTTCGGTTGCTGATTGCTAACGAATAGGAGTGGTATTAATTATTCTGTATTGACCTTGTTTGTGGCAATGCTGTTGAACTCTTGTCATCCCAACAGTGGATTGATACTCTTGGATTTTCTGTGTAGATTGTTTTTATCATTCCCAAAGAATGTCTTTGGACGAGTTTGTCTTTTTTCTTCTGATCCTTGTAGCTTACATTTCTTTTTTCTGTGACTTACTGCGTTGGCTAGGATGTTGAATAGCAGCGGGCTCTGAGAGAGAACATCCCTCTCTGGTCACTGACTCTACTGCACATGCTTCTAATGTGTCCTCTTAGTGTTGTGAACACAAACTTGAATGCGTGAAACCCCAGGGTCCCTGAGCCACACTCTGAGAACTATTGCTATGCCTCCTGGGGTCAAGTGATCCTCTCACCTCAGCCTCCCCAGTAGCTGGGACTACAGGCATGTGCCACCAAGCCCTGCTAATTTTTTAAATTTTTTGTAGGGATGGGGTCTCAGTATATTGCCCAGGCTGAGCTTGAACTCCTGGGCTCAAGCGATC